AGAGGAGAAATTATAATTTGCCAAAGTTAAGTTCCAAACAAGAAGTTTGGATTAATGCGGTACTTGGATCTAGTGATGATGAATTAGAGTCACAAGAGTTTCTAGCAAGTTTGCCAACACCGGAGAATGTTACCGTCGATATGATGCGACAATTAGAATTGGATTTTAAAGGAAAATACAAATATTAGATTACATCTGAGAACTAATTGAAACAGAACCCTTCCTAGAAGGTGGCTGCGTAAATTAGTTACTCATCTAATATTTGTAACAAATATTAGTTTTACATATGAGAACTTATTGAAACAGAACCCTTCCTAGAAGGTGGCTGCGTAGATTAGTTACTCCACTAATATTTGTAAATTGTAACTTCTAAGTTCTAAGTTGCAATTAGATTTTATTGAATAAATTTGAAGGCTTTATTAAGTCTTTTTTATATAACTATTGTCTTGCATTTTAATTTTAATATATTCATACATATTTACATATATACTAATTTGTTTGAAAATAGTTGAACATAATAAAAAGAGAACTAGCTATTACAAAATTTTATAATAAGGAACAAATGTTAAAAAATGGAACTTTAATACATCAACTAACACCTAGATTATTAAAAAAAAAATTAAAAGAAGGAAAATTCAAAGTATTGCACATAACGTCCTTCTTTTTCGGGGCCTTTTCTTCATTTAAAAATCAAAATTTCAAGTTTAAATTACTTTAAAATATTTAAAAAGACAAATTTGAACTTCTCAAATTTGTAATTTGAAAATTGAAAATTGAAGTTTGAAATTTGAAAGTTGAATTTGAAATTTGAAATTTGAAAGTTGAATTTGAAATTTGAAATTTGAAATTTGAAGTTTGAAATTTGAAGTTTGAAATTGAATTTTGAAATTTGAAAACTTAAGCATTATTTATTAGCTAAAAATGTTATTGAAAAAAAATCAAATAAACTAAAAATGTTATTCAATAACATATAATTTCAATACAAATAAATAAGTAAATAAAAAATTAAAAATCCCCCGTCCCGTCCCCCCAAAACCCGTCCCATCCCGTATATATACTGGGACGGGATGGGACTTATTTTTGTCCCCCCAATCCCGGTCCCGGCCAAATCCCCCTAGAACCGTCCCCCGTCTCGTCCCGTCCCCCTTCGTCCCGTCCCCGTCCCCTTGCCAGCCTTAGTTATGTGTAATTGATCTACTTGACACTGAGTTTGACTTACGTGATACGTGTTGATTGTTGACTGGTGACTTTGGACTGTAAATATTGAGCCACGTGAACTGTATATTATAGAACTGTTAGGTTGGAATGATTTCTGTGGAGGTTGTAGTTTGAGGAGGTTCGATTAGGATGAAAAGGAGCAGTCAAATTCTAGCTAGGTTGCCTTGTTTATTAGGTTGCTTGTTGAGTACCGTGTTATTAGTACTCACTCCTTGCTTTTATATTTGTGTAGGTTCTGAGCCCCTACCCGTACTGTGATCTCTTTTTTCTTCTTCTGATTTCGAGGCTTGTCAAGGATTTTGAGAGGTAGTTGTTTGTCATCCCAACAGACCCTCTTGTTCCTTCTTTATGATTTGTTCTATTTGAGAAACGACGATTGTGAGACTTGTATGTATCTTTTAAATTTTGTTTATACATTAGTTGCTTGTACACGTGACAATCAGATTTTGTGGTGTTAATAGAAGAATATTTTTTCTGCTTTTACTTGTTCTTATTTTATCTTTCCATATTTCTTTCGTTTTCGCTGCATTGAGATTGACTTGTCTTGATGGGAATAGAAAAGTGTTATCACATCCGTTTTTGAATCGTGACAATTATTCATGTTTATTTTGCATTATGACGTGGAATAAGAGTTAAATCTCATATTTTTTAATATATATAATACTAATTTAAATATATAGGTTAAAATTATGAAATTGGTAGACAAACCGATAATAATTGATGCTCAGGGGTAGTAGTACGTGGAGTGACCCCCAGGAGTTATGAAATGCAGTCACGTGAAGAGTGGTACGACAGAATATGTGGAATCAGAAAAGAGTGTTATTAATTACACTTTGGGAACACAAGGGGAGGAGGACTTACATTTGACCCCCTATGCCTTGGGTACAAGTCGTACGCGTTATAATATCTAGTAAATCTTTTCTTGTCACTGACCAAATTTTATCGCAGATAAAGAGATCTGGTAACAGTGACGAAGTCAGAATTTTAATGTTAGAAGATTTTAACATAGCAAAAGTGGAACTTGTTGGGCACGCGGAGACCATCAAGCCATCTTTCTTTGATTGTGGATTCGCAGGCAATATTTATACATTTTTATATTATTATAAGTGTTAAAAATATATTTAAATATTTTTTTATTTTTAAATTTATACCTAAATTATTAAAAATATGAGTTTCACATTTAAACTATCACTTATAAATATGAAATATAAAATTTATGTATCCACTGTAATACAGTAACTCTGCCAGTGAGTGGGGTACTAAATATAGGTTTTGTTGACTAAAACCAGTGGATGAGTTGGCTATATCTGCTTGCATCTCTCTGGAACTATCTTTACACTAAAAGTTGCTGCTCCTGCTCTACCCTACCCTACCCTTCATGATTTTTCATTTTTTTGGTTTTTTCACATGCGGCTATGTACCTAACGGGCTAAACCTGACACTAGTTAAAAATGAATGAATACTTATTGCTCCACCATAATTTTATTTGGTACCCTTCATGATTTACTAGTATATGACTTCATTATTACATACTTCTAATCAATCTTTTAACCGACAGTTTTGATATCCGCCCTATAGGGTGTGGTATACTACCACAATGTTTCTGAGTGAAGTTTATGGGTGAGACAAAAATAACTTTTAGCGACAATGAATAGACATATTAATAAAGGGCGATAAAGTTTTTATTGGTATTATTTAAGTGTCATTAAATTTAATGTCGCTAAAGATTTTAGACATATATACAAAGAATGCTAATTGCTGTTAAATATACATATTGAACTATTATTGTTGATTAATTGTCATTAAAGATAATTTTTTATGTAGTAACAGTTTATGTTTCTAAGTGTTAAATGGTATGTTCTAAATATGTTGCTTGGAATTAGTAATTTTAAATACATAAATAGTTTTCTTCCTCATTAGCAACTAAACAAATGTTAAATACCTTCTGAAAAATTATGAAAAAGATTATATTACATAAAATAGGATAGATAAGAGTAAATCACGGTAAATTGCTTTTTATAAGTAAGCAAATACATATTGTTGGATGTCAAAGTTTTAAAACTGATAAAGAACTAGTTCCTTCCCTCCAATTTGTTAATTTAAAATCATTACTTATACAAAGAGAAGAAAAAAAATCAGTATAATAAACAAATGGCTAGATTGCTAGAAGCATTAATGTTGATCAAATTAGAAAATTCTCTTGTCATAACAAATGTAATAAAACAACTTGTATAAATTAATTGAATAACTTTTGCTCATTAAACAGTGTATTTAGGTTTTAAAAAGTCATTAAACATATACACATATTAAATTTAGAACCAAATTATTAACAACATGAAGTCGTTATTCTAAGATCAATCGAAAATCATAAAATTGGTATCCTGATTCTGCTTTTATTCATGTGTGATTCTAATTGTTTCCCTTGAATCTCGTAAGGACATTTTCAAACATAATTAATTCTATCAACATTTCTTTCTTTTATTCATGTGTGATTCTAATTGTTTCCCTTGAATCTCGTTCAGGACATTTTCAAACATAATTAATTCTATCAACATTTCTTTCTTATAGAAAATGATTTATACAAGATTTTTCGGTTGACTTAGTACGTGAGAGTTTAATTAAAACATATCTGATGAGCATATTTTTGGTTCATAGATACTCTAATTGGAATATAATCTTTTTGAACAATATGACTAGTCTTTTCACACGACAATATATCAGTTTTAGTGACAAAAGACAACTTATAAAGAAACATTTATAATTCAACAATAGAACTAAGCTCCAATTCAGCCATAGATTTTAAAGTTGAGACTTATAAAATTTAAAGTTTTGTTTGGACATACATTATACTAGAAAAAATTTAGTAAGATTTTATGAGTGGAAGTCCCAAAAATCCAAAAACTAATGAACTTGAAAATATTTGAAGATCAAAATTTTTAAAACTTGATCAAATTTAATAATCAAACAGATATTTAAAGATGAAATTTTAAAATCTGTAACCAAACATCTGTTAGGATCGAAATAATTAAGCGTCATGCGAAAGCTAGCAAAACAAACTTCGAAAGACCACGGTAAGAAGACAAATGAGAAATATATCAAAAGACACAAAAATTTAGCGTGGTTTGATTGACCGACCTACATCCACAAATGAGATGAGTAATTCACTATATATACATGAGAGTACAAAATACTAGAGAGAATAAATTAACCTCAACCAATTCACTACAAATACAAAGAGGTTCACACAAGTGATAACATATCACTTGTGTTCCATAAATTCTCTCCCCAAACCAAAACTTTCAAAGCCCCTAGGACTACATTGTGAATGTTGATTAAACTAGAAGGAGCGAGTCTCTATTTATACAGTCCTAAATATTTTCCTACAAAAAATGAATTAGCCAAACGTGGAGACTGAAAACCTATTTTATGGTAAAAAAACTTGAGCAATTAATACCCAACAACATCAGCTAAATATAAATAAACGAGATGATCATTGTAGATCACGTACTTATAAATCAAAATCTATAATCAAACGCTGAACATGAATATCATTATATATCACTAAATTGCAAGAAAAAACAATATAAGTTTTTTTCCAAAACAAGAAAGCATAAAGTCAGGACTCTCTACATTGGTTCAAAATTGGAGTCCAAATTTATATGCTAGGAACATTATCTTCCATATCCTATCTCTGCCCCAAATTTAATAATCAAAATTCAAATCTATAGAGTTGAGAAATATAGAAAAATATCAAAAAACAAAAAAAACACACAATCCTAAAACTAAACATTCCTCTGCATGGCCACAACAGTGAGTGGATTCTTCATTTCACATGACAATTTTAAAACTTCTCCCAAGTCAACTGGATGGGCCCCATCCTCCACAAACTCGAAATGTTGCACCAACTTAGCCACCCATAACATAACCGTAACCAAACCCAAATTCTTCCCTGGGCACACTCTCCTTCCTGCCCCAAACGGTGCCAAACGTAGGTCACCCCCCCTCACATCCACAGTCACACCACCTTCTGACACTACAAACCTCTCTGGCTTAAATTCAAGCGAATTTTCCCACACGTCAGAGTCATGAGTAATAGCCCACATGTTGACCATTGCCGTTGTATGGGAAGGAACAACCATGCCATTGCTAAGCCGAACGTCTGATGTGGAAAGCCGCGCCCACGAGAGAAGTGGACCCGGTGGATGAACTCGTAGTGTCTCTTTTATCACTGCTTGTAAGTAGGGCATCCGAACAACGTCCACATCAGTCACAACTTTTCCCATCGTGACATTATCAACTTCTTGTCGTAACTTGTTTTGCACTTCGGGGTGCAAAACAAGTTCCGCCATCACCCACTCCGTTAGAAGTGCCGTGGTGTCCGTCCCTCTAAATATCATTTCCTGCATATGAAAATACTTTATAATGTTTCAAAACTATTCTTAAAATTAGAAAAAAAAAAAGAGTACATTTTTGTGGGCTTTCTAGCCAAATAAGTGAGACCTAAATATTTGTAGACGGACTAAAAAGAAAAATATATCATATAAATTGAGATAGAAAAAATAATAATTACGTACCCAAAGAACGGCGACCATATCATCTTCGTCTAGCTTTTCTTCTCCATCAAGAGATAATAAAACGTCAACAAAATCACCATTATCAGTCATCACCATTTTTGATGCAGAAGCACGATAACGCTTATGTTCATCAATAATATCAAGAACAAACTTTCGTACACGTGGCACGAGAGCTTCACTCCGTCGAACAATGCCCGACGGATCATAAAACAAACTCAACCACGGAAGATAATCAGACCAATTAAAAGCACCTAATAATTCAAAACCTTCCTTCACCATATCTTGCAACTCTCCAAGCTCTAATTTACCATCAACATTATCATAACGCTTCCCAAACACACTACCCATAATATTATTCAACGCAGCAAATTGCAAATGCGTCCTCAAAACTACTTTTCCATTTTCAATCTGATCGTTAACTATATTCCGTAACATAACAGAACAGTCAAGCTGACGGCTCGTTTCATGAGCCGCAATTCGGCTAGGAGAGAAGAGATATGAAGAAGCAATACGACGGAGTAGACGCCAGTAAGTTCCGTTAGGAGCGAACCCAATGGCTCGGCTAAACATGAGGCTTTTAGCCGATTGTTTAATCGGACGGTCAGCGAAATGAGGTGATGTAAGAATCTCTTTAGCTATTTGAGGATCGGAAGATACAACTAAAGGAGTTGAACCAAGGCTAAAAGCCATAAGCTGTTTAGCTTTATGACTCCAAGCCGCAGTGGCTAAAGTGCGATGAGCTAAGCCATCGCGATTCAAAGTGAAAAGGCTTCCGATTATCGGAAAGCCACGTGGTCCAGGAATATTTCGTCCTGGACCACTACTAGTATTGGTGGTGTTGTTTTTCCAAGCAACACCACCAGGAGTAGAAGCCCAAGTGATTAGAGTGATTGAAATAAAAGCTAAAATAATATAAAGGATAACACATTCATCAAGAAGAATTTTCCAACCAAGGAAAGTTGGTAGTGTAAATACCCACCAATTGGAGTCTTTTGTGACCATGCCTAAATCCATGAAATGAAGAAAAATAGGAGTGGTGGAATATATTTGGGATGTTTCAAAATGAAAAGTATGGCTAGCTTTATATAGGCTGCAAAATTTAATCATTTACTAGTAAGTCGCTTCTTTATAGTTGTCATATTGTGTTTTAATTTTGACTAATTTTCAAAATTAAATTAGATTACATTAATTTGATATTATATATTAAAAAATTATATGAATAGTACTATAAATTGCAATTTTTGCATATCAATATAATGAAAAAATACTTCATAAAATATTAATCAAAATTTTAATTATTTGACTCTAAAAAAGAATATCGTAACAACTAAAAAGAAATGAAAGGAGTAATGGATATAGATTTTCTTTCATCATCACTTACCATAGCTTTATTTAGTGTGAATCTTCTAGGCGTTTGACCCTGAAATTCTTTCAGTTATTTAGAGTTGAATGAATTTCGAAAAATTTGAAATCATGTTTGACCAAAAAAATAATAATTTAGAATTCAATTGTCTTTCAAGAATTCGAAAAGTAACAAAGATGTATTTTCACTCCAAATAACTCAAAATAGTCAAAGACAACTGTAATTTATATTAATGACTAAACACAACTCCTTTCAAATATTATTTTTCTACTTTGAAAATAATTTTTTTTTTTTTTCTTCTAAATTTCATAATCAAACGTGCAATGTGATCTCATTTTCACTAGTTTTTCTTGGATTTAACTCTTCCAAATTACAGTCTCTCCATTTGTTCAACTACACACGTTTAGTCCATGAGTCAATACTTTTAACGCGGAAAGAAATTCAGTAGCATGTATGGGGACAATTTTATTCTTTCCACATATATCAATAAAATATATTTAATTTGTGCACATATACAGTACTATGTATCATAAGTTTTAAAAAATAATTAAAAATAAGTATGAGAAAATGAATTACAAAACATCTCAAACCATGACCTAGTGACAAATAAAGTAGGTTGAGCATTGTAAAATTTCAGATTCAAAACCTAATCGAGGAAAATACTAGTATTTTTTTTCATCAATTGAACCATGATGGATTTTGTTGTCAAAAATTGTTCGAACACCATAATTATATTAAAAAAACACTAAATATATATACATCAATTGCATTAGTCAAAATATAACGGAACACGATAAAATGTAAGATTGAGCGTGTATTTAAGTTCAGTTAGTCAAGTTGCGAGGTGTTTTTAAGGCTGTCAATAATTCGGGGATGAAACTAATAAATTCACACCTATTTTAGAGGTATTTTAGATACTTCTTTCTTACTTTTTCGAACAAATTCGTGTTCTTCTAGTTTTTCAACTTGTACAATAGAATGTCGAAAAATGAGGTTTTCTTTTTATCTCTCGACTAATTAGATCAATGACTTCAATCATTGTGAGAATTCATGACTCGAATTTTTCTTTTAAAATAACAACTGATAAACAAAGTCCATCTTCAATGAAAAAATCAAAAGAATTCACCATATGTTTGGATTAAATAAACTAAGATTTATCTAATCTAAGGAAGGGACACTAAGGATTTATTGTATTCAATCAGTGGAAATATTGAATTAGTTAATTACTTCCTTTTCAACAATTGACATATGATTTTCTTTTATTTCGCGTGTTGTATCTATAATAAGATTTTTAGGATTGAGTTCATTATATCAAATTATAAGTTCAGAAATAATAGTTTTTAAATTTTTTATCAAGTTTATATAAAATCCAATTACCCGCATAAAAAAATTGGATTTGAATAAATTTACAGCAAAATAACTTGATCAATCCCTATCAATGATGCATTTTATTTACAATTTTTTTTTACTATTATGTGTTAAATATTATCGAATTTTGTAAGTGAAATTGGCAAGCACTCTTAGTATTTGCCTAAAAAAGAAATTTTTTAACTATGCCTATTTTGCACTTAACATTATTATTTTATCTCAGTTTGCAAGTTGCATGAGAACCAAGAATGGATATATAATCTTGTATCATTGAATGTGATAATTGACTAATTTTTAATTTGTAATTAATTTGATTTAATAGTAATAATTAGAAAATATTTCTCGGTTTTAAAAGTCTGCCATTAATTTTAATTTTATTTATTTTTGGTTTATTTGACTTCTTATTCTTATATACATTAAAAAGACTATAAAACAAAATTATGAGATAAATTATAATACATTTCAACAAAGTTAAATAACGGAATTTCTTTCCTTTGAACAACTCTGGTACGGAAAACATGATAGCAATTAAATCTGAGGAAAAAAACATTGCTATAACAATAAGATTTTTCAAAGAGAAAACTACAATTACTTTATTTTAATAACACCCAATCTTTTTTTTCCATGGCAGCTGAAGCATTAAGCTTCTAATATGTGATTTCACTAGAAATCTTTGGGTACTGTCTTCACATAATTGACAAAATTTGCCAATTTTTCATACTGCAAACGAAAAGATCACACAAAGTTAATAATCAATTTACTAGAGCATTTCATGAATGAATATTTGATGAAAAGAAAATTAACCTCCGATTTCAATTGATCAAATTCCTTGTGCAACTTTTCAAGATGTTCCTTTAATTCTTCAATACATGCAGAACAAGTTAGTTTCTCGCTCCACTCATTTATTGATTCGTATTCTAGGGAGAGCCTTTTCTTTTTGAAGTTAGTTGCATTGTTTCCTTTGTGCATCTCGCTAAGGATTGAAAATACCATAAGAACGCACATGAAGCCGGTAAAACAAATAGCAAGAAAAAAGAGAAAATGTGAAAAGGACATCGACAAGAACTTTGGAGAAGCCATTGATAAATATTTTTAGAGCAAATTAATAAGAAAGAAACTTTATTTATTATAAATTTTTATATCACTTACTTTTTATAAGAGGGAAAACCATTTTAAAAAAATGTTTTTATAATTTTTTTACCAAATATATATTTGAAGCATCTAATAGGAAAATAATGAATTGATGGATAAGCATAGGTTAGAAAATGGTAAGAAATTAATTTTTATGCTTAATTTAATTAATGAGATGAATTGAGTTTGAATCTATCTTAAAGAGACTTGGATAATATATAGGTAGTCATATATTTTGGATAAGACATAAGATTTCCTAAACTATGATAGAAATCATAACGACACACTTTAACTTAATTTGGGTCCTATTACCCTCTCCTCCCCTCAAAGTTCAATTTTTCTGTATTTTCATACACGTTTTATGCTGATGTGACACCTTCAATTAGGTAAAATTAGATGCGTGCACAACATGCTCCGCCACATGTGTAATTTTTTTTATTTTAAACTTTTTATTTTAATTATTTTTATTTTTTTTTAGAAAAAATCTTCTTATTTTCTTTATCTTGTATTTAAACTTAAGTTAATACATGTATTTTTTTTTAAAAAACCTTTTTTGCCTTATATTTTAACTTTTTTTCTTCAATTCTTAAACTTCATTCATTGTTTTTTCACTCTTTTGTTTTTCTATTGATTTTATTTATTCCTTTTATTTTCTTTGCCTTTTAAAAAAAAATGATTTCAAATTTAATTCCAAATATCTTGTATTTAAGTTAATTTCGGAAGGATATGGAAACAAGTGAAGATAATCAAATAAAACATTAAGAAAATTAAAACATTAAAATTAAATGACACTTTCTTAAAAAAATTATTATTATAAAATATACGTAATTTTTAAAAATAATTAAAAGTGGAAAGATAAGAAGTTAATTAGTGAAAGAGGAAAAAACTAAAAAGTTTAATCAAACTCCTTATGCAACATTTCACGATGTTTCTTTAATTCTTCGATACATGTAGAATAAGTTGGTTTCTCGCTCCATTCATTTATCGATTCGTATTCTAGGGAGAACCTTTTCTTTTTGAAGTTATTGCAATATTGTTTCCTTTTTTGAACTTGCTAAGAATTGAAAGCACAATAAGAACGTTCATGAAGATGGTAAAACTAATAACAAGAAAAAAGAGAAAATGTAAATAGGACATCAACAAGAACTTTATATAGAAAAACTTGACTATGCCTACTTTGCACTTATACGATTATTTTACCTGATTTTGCAAGTTGCATGAGAACCAAATGTAGAAAAACTTGTACCACTAAATGTGATGATTGACTAATTTTTAATTCGTAAAATTAGTTTTAAATTAGTAATTAGAAAATATTTGCTTCTATTGGTTTTAAATTAAAGGTATGCCATTAATTATTATTATTTTTTGGTTTATTTGACTTCTTATTCTTATACACTAAGGGCATGTTTGGAAGGACACTCTGGTAATTGGATTTGGTGTAATTGGTATTACACTGTCTTGTCCTGTTTGGAAGGACATGTAATTACTTGATCAACATGTAATTAGTGTAATTGGCAGGAGGTAATTACACTCTACAATTCACAGACAGAGACTGTGAATTGCTGGTAATTACACCACATCATTACTTTTTTTTTTTTATTTCTATTTTAATTTTTTTTACTTTTATTATTTTAAGTTCTTTTTTTTACTTTTATTATTCTAAAAATTTGTAAAAGTTTATTTTTTATTTTTTATTATTATATTTCATTTTCTTCTTATTCTCAACCTTACTTTACGTGATTCTATGTAATTTTTTCGTATTATCTATTTCTTTATGCCATGCTTATTTTCTCATTAGCATAATTTTATTATATTCTAATTTTTAAATTAAAATAGAATTTATTGTTAAGTAAGTTATAGACTTATGTTTACTTTATTAAGAAAAACTAACACTAAATCATATTTATTGCTATGTTGAAATTTGTTATAAGAGTATTATGTTAAAAGTTTTGTTTTGAATTTATAACTTATGTTATATTTTCAGTTTCATTTGTTTTAGTAATATTGAATCTACATTGCACGTCATTTTTAATTAGAGTTGATAAATTATATTTTTGTCAAACATTTAATAATTTATGACATTTTATTTATATATTATCCTTTTTATCAAACATGCATTTCACGATGTTCATAGAAACTTCATACTTTTAGT